AGCCTAGATGCCCCTCAACTGAAGAATGGATAGAGAAAATGTGGTACATTTATACAATGGAGTACTACTCAGCAGAAAAAAACAATGGAATCTTGAAATTTGCAGGCAAATGGATGGAACTAGAAAAAAACCATTCTGAGCGATGTAACCCAATCACAAAAAGACAATCATGATATGTATTCACTCATATGTGGATTTTAGACACAGAGTAAAGGATTACCAGCCTTCAATCCACACTGCCAGAGAAGCTAGTAAACAAGGAGGACCCTAAGAGAGACATACATGGTCCCCTAGAGAAGGGGAAAGTGTCAAGATCCCCTGAGCAAATTGGGAGCACAGGAAGAGGGGAGAGGGAGCTAGGAGAAGGGTAGAAGAGGAGGGGTGAGGAGGACATGAGGGAGCAGAAAGTTTGAGTCGGGAAGAATAGAAGAAAACAAGAAAGGAGATACTATAATAGAGGGAGACATTTTAGTTTTAAAGAGAAATCAGGCACTAGGGAAATATCTGGAGATCTGCAAAGATGACATCATCTAACAATCTAAGCAATAGTGGAGAGGCTACCTTAAATGCCCTCCCCTGATAATGAAATTGATGACTGACTTATATGCCATCCTATAGTCTTCATCCAGCAGCTGGTGGAAGTAGAAGCAGACACCACAACTAATCACTGAACTGAACTGGAATCCAGTTGCAGAAAAGGATGAGTGATGAGCAAAGTGATCCAGACCAGGATGGTGAAACCCACAGAAACAGCTGACCTGAACAATGGGGACCTCTTGGTCCCCAGACTGATAGCTTGGAAACCCGCATGGGACTGATCTAGACCCCAGGAATATGGGTTTCAATGAGGAGATCTCAGTAAATCTATGAGACCTCCTGTAGTAGATCAGTCCTTATCCCTAGCATAGGTGTGGACTTTGGAGCCCATTCCACATAGAGGGATACTCCCTGAGCCAAGACACACGGGCGTGAGCATAGGCCCTATCCCAAAGGATACGACAGACTCTGAAGACCCCCTATGGAAGGCCTCACCCTGCCTGGGGAACAGAAAGGATGTGTGATAGGTAGGGTTTTATTTGGGGAAAGTGGTAGGGGAGGAAGGGAGGGAGAGGGAACTGGGATTGACATGTAAAACAATCTTATTTCTAACTCAAATAAAAAATCTGAAAAAAAAGTGTCAGCCTACAGAGTAGGGAATTTTTTCTTTTTACCAACTATACATTACATAGAGGACTAATACCCAAAACATACAAAGAACTAAAAAAAACTAAATACCAAGGAAACAAAAATGGGATACAGATTTAAACAAAGAATTCTCAAAAGTTGAAAGTCAAATGGGTGAGAAGCACTTAAATTGTTCAACATCCTTAGCAATTAACATGCAAATCAATTTTCTATTGAGATTTCATCTGACACCAGTCAGAATGGCTAAGATCAATAAAACAATTGACAGTTCATGGTCATGAGGATTTGGAGAAAGGGAAACACTCATTCATTGCTGGTGTGAGTGCAATCTTGTACACCGACTGTGGAAATAAATGTGACAGGTCCTCAGGAAGATGGGAATTGATACACCTCAAGATCCAGCTATGCCACTCTTGGACATATACCCACAAATTTGTTTCATCCTACCAGAGATACTTGCTGAATCATTTTCTTTGCTGCTCTATTCATAATAGCCGGAAACTGGAAACTGCCTAGATGTCCCTCAACAGAAGAATGGGTTAAGAAAATGTGGTACATTTACTCATGGAGTATTATTTAGCTGTTAAAAAGAAGGTCATGAAATTCTCAGGTAAGTGGAGGGAACTAGAAAGGAATCATCCTGAGTAAGGTAATGTAGACACTAAAAGACAAATATGGACTGTATTCACTTATATATGGATATTAGCTGTTAATCGATGATAACCAAATAACAATCTATAAAACCACAGAGGTTAGATATAGAGTAATGGACTTGGGGTGGCAGTTAGGTTTCCCTAGGAAAATGAAATAAAATAGGTAGTATGGATGGGTGGGATTGGAAAGGGAGTTTCAAGTGAGGAGAGGGAAGAAAGAGGGGGGTGACAGTGAATATGGGGATAGACAGCTAAAAATAAGGGACATTTGAGGGGTAGTATAGAATTCTAATACAGTAGAAGAATATATACTTATATGAAGGAAATATAAATGAAATCACCAAATAATGGGGGAGGCAGAGCCCTAGTAGGACATCTCTTGTCACAAAATAAAGCTTGTAGTACCAGGAATGAGTTGTATCTATGGTTCAAGAAACACTGTCTAGAGGAGGTAAAACAGTGTATGATCCGGGGATGGAGGACACCAAAGAAACAAAGCTCTCTAAAACAAAAGGATTGAGGCACACATGAATTCACAGACACCAAGGTAGCTTGCATACATGGGTGCAAGCCAGATGGTTTCCTAGACCTGAAAGAAGTGGATACATGTCTCTGTCCCTAAACCAGAAGCAATCTCTAGTTGACAGTCACTTGCAAATGAAAAATTTATTTTCTCCAAGGGATTTTCACTGGGAAACAAATTACTTTGAAGGGTATACTACATTCGAGCAGTGGGTGGCCAACAGAAAATAGACACAATGGCATTTTTGGAGGTTTCTTGCGCAATAATATGGTATCTTTAAATCGTATTTTAATTTTTATTTATTTTATATTTTTCTCACTTTTTACCCTACAAGTCCTTTGCACATATATTCTGACTTCCAGTTTATTGTTTTTTATGAGGATTCTAAGTGTACAAATGAGTGGGTCTATTTTTTGTGTCTTCTCTTGGGCTCTTTTTCTTCTGTTTGTTTTGTCATATTCCAATGTAGGAGCTTTTATTTTATATTATTATTCTTTATGTTGTGTTATCCCTTTGAAGACTGTTTTCTAATCAAAGATAGAAAGCTGATGGGTCTAGATGGGAAGGGAGGTAAGGAGGAACTAGGTGGAATAGAGGGAGAGGAAATTATAATCAGGATATATTATATGAGAAAAAATTATTTTCAATAAAAGGAAAAATAAATGACTATGTAAAATTAAAAATATATCATCTGAACCATATTAACTGGAGTAGGGTGTATCTCAGTAGCATGTTATCATGTTCAGGTACATGAGATCAATTCTAATCATTGAAAAAATGTTAATTTATTTTCTTTTTATTGAGTTTTCTTGTTCCTTTATGAAAACCAAATAAATGCTTTGAGGAAAGGAACATAGAAGGCATTGCTTAACACAGGATGATTTTTTTCTAGTTCCATTCATTTGCCTGCATATTTTTTGATGTCATTGTTTTTAACAGCTGAGTAGTACTCCATTGTGTGAATGTACCACATCTTCTATCGCCATTCTTTGCTGGAGGGACATCTAGGTAGTTTCCAGGTTCTGGCTATTATGAATAAGAACACAGTTGAGCAAGTGTCTTTGTGATAGGATGGAGCATCCTTGGGAATATGCTCAAGATAGCTGGGTCTTGTGGTAGATTGATTACCAGTTTTCTGAGGAACTGCCATAGTGATTTCCATACATGGCTGTTTGTTTACACCCCCACCTGCAGTGGAGGAGTGTTTCCCTTACTCCATATCCTCTCCGGAATGAGCTATCACTTGTGTTTTTGACCTTAGTCATTCTGATAGGTGTAAGATGGAATCTCAGAATCTTTTTTGATTTGAATTTCCCCGGTGTCTAAGAATGCTAGACATTTCTTTAAGTGTTTCTTGGCCATTTGATATTTCTTTGTTGAGAATTCTCTGTTTATATATGTACCCCATTTTTAACTGGATTATTTAATTTGTTAATGTCTAGTTTATTGAGTTCTTTATATATTTTTATATTAGCCCTCTGTCACATGTACACTTGGTAAAAATCTTTTCAAATTCTGTGGGCTGCCATTTTGTCCTATTGATGGTATCCTTTGCCTGACAGAAGTTTTTCAGTTTCATGAGATCCCATTTATTAATTGTTGATCTTAGTGCCTGTGCTAAAAGTGCCCTGTTCAGAAAGTGATTGCAGGATGGTGTATGTATGTATGTATGTATGTATGTATGTATATATGTATGTTATGCCCAAACTCTGAACCTCAAAATCACCAAGATACCCAATCTGACGCAAAAGCAGAGTCTTTAATTTTACAAGTTAACTCAGTGCCTCTGTCAATCAGAAACAGAGGATGAAGCAGGCAGGGATCAGAAGGGACCTTAAGCAGCAGTGGGGCAGGGAATATATTGGGGTAGAGCAAGGGGAGTGTCTGGGGTCAGCAACAGTGTCAGGATTGGTGCACCTCTGGACTTGAGGGGCTTGGGCACCCTGTCCTGAGTTGATTGGTCAGCTGCAGCTGCAGCAAGGTTGCTATGCCTATAGGCCTTCCAGGGCGGTTCCTATGCTCTGCATTTCAGAGCCAGCCAGCTAACTTCTGATTGGTTCCTTGCCACATGGATTATCTGGCTTCCTAGTGATTAGGACACAGTTGGGCAAGGTTGGTGGCTCAGCACATGTTGCTGAAACAGAAGCCTACCTCTTGCTGGCTCTTATTTGTAGCCTGGTATGGCTGCCAAAGCAGGGGGCTAGATGAGGGTCTGGTCCCTTCATTTATATATATGGTTTTTTAAGGCCAGGTTTTGATGGGGGAAGTCCTTCTGTGTATATGTTTGTCTTATTGGTTGATAAATAAAGTACTGTTGGCCAATAGGGAAGAAAGTTAGGTGGGACTAGGAGTTGAGGAGGATTCTGAGAAATTTAGTAAAGAGAAGTGTTGTGATCCAGGCAGGAAGTGACATAGCAGGCAGACTCAGAATATAAGCAGGGACAAGCAGGAAATCGTTCTCTTTCTCCTCCTCTCTTCTCTGGGAGTCGCCATGTGAGTCTGACAAGAGAGGACACATGCCACCAGCGTCCTCAATCAGATAAGTCTTTATAAAATATATAGATTAATAATTATGGTTGATACTTAAGACAGAGATAGCAGATAAGAATTCCTAGTCATTGGCCATCAGCATTGTACTTAATATAAGACTCTGTGTGTTATTTCAGGTGCTCACATGGCAGCGGGGCTTAGGCGGCTTGGCGGAAAGATTTAATGTTACAAGCTTTCTCTGTGTGGACCAGGCTGTCCTGGAACTCACTTTCTAGACCAGGCAGACCTCAAACTCAAAGAGATCCACCTGCCTCTGCCTCCTGAGTGCTGGGGTTAAAGGCATGTGCCATCACCACCCATATTTTACAGAAAAAGCCTAATGATAAGGAACAAGTTTGTATTTGAACCTTGGTAATCTAAACATTGTTTTCTTTCTTTCTTCATATTTTCTTCAGGTACAAAATGCTAGTGACTTGCTGATAAAACCCCTGGAAACTTTTCGGAAGGAACAAATAGGGTTCACAAAGGTATATTCTTTTGTATTAAATATATATATAAGTTCATTTTAAATACTAATGGAGTAGTTGTTTGGGTTACCACTCGTTATTCTGCAATGATACAGTTGTTAACTATATAGAGCTAAAAGATGCTCAGATATCCCAGATAACTGATTACCTTACTTTGGAGTTTATCTCTGTTGTTGTTTCCCTGAGAATTTGGTATTTGAATTTCTTGGCTGCCCTAAGCCATGTGGGTGGTGTTATCTAATCCTTTTGAGAGTCTGAATAGAACAAAGGGGTAGAGAAAAATTTGAATTGGCTACTAGGTCACATGACTTGGGACATGGAGCATTTGCTCTCAGTGTTATTGGTTCTTAGGCCTTCAAACCCAACTTGGAATGCACTGCAATAACACTCAAGCTATTGCACTGTCTTACTATCCTACTGGTATTCCTTATAGTTTCCATGTAGCAGATCATGAAACTTCTTATAATCACAAGAGCCAGCACATGAGAATAAATTTCTCTCTCTCTCTCTCTCTCTCTCTCTCTCTCTCTCTCTCTCTCTCTCTCTCTCTCATTTCTCTCATGCTCACGCTTCACCTCTGTAATATAGAAATTAGTAGTAGGAAGTATGTTGCTGCTGTAACTAGGAAGAGTAATGTAACAATGACAATGCATTCTGAGAAATGCATCATTAGCTGATTTTTATCGTTACTTGACATCCTAGAGAATACAGAACTAGATGGCATAGATGTAATTTCTTGGTAAAGTTCGGAGATGCAGTAAGCACAAGGTATTTGAGGCTATACCAGGATGACATAGCATAATGTTTTAGTAAATGTTTTCTAAGGCTTATGCTCTAAAATAATGATAAAGGTATGGTGTGGTAAATATATAACCTAGTAGCATAGTTATTTTTCTTATAAATCATTATGCATATAATTGGATGTGATAATTTTTTGTGTAATGGGTATCACAGTACAAGTATCACAGGCATATCAGTGATACCTGATGCTACTATGGCTGTAGTCATAGGAGTGACAGAAAATTTTCTACTCTTTTATGATGTCCCTCCTCTCCCTTCCCTTTTCCTCTCTGCTCTCTTCCTCCATGTACTCTCCTCCTCTTCTGTAATCTCTTCATTTTCTTTTGTTTTCTTTTCTATTTTCAGACAAAATGTCAGTGTTGCTCAGGATGGACTCAAATCCCTGATCTTCCTCTTTTAGGTTCCTGAATGCTGGGCTTACAGGCTTGTTCCACCACACCCAATTTTATGAATAATCTTTTGGGGTCAGTGTCATAATAAAAAAACTCAGACACATATATTGGGGTTCAAGTGGAAAGATCAGAGAAGCAAAGTAGCTGGCCACTACTAGCTCTTATCTCTACCTCAGGCTGCAAGGTCTGTCCTGTCCTCAACATGGATGAAGAATAAATCTCCGAGATTGATTACTGAATGCCCCACTCCTATCTTATATACCCCTCTAGAGCTGGGATTAAAGGCATGGGATCCCAAGTGCTGAAATTTCCTTTGTGTGAGCTGTTTAGACTGATTCACTCTAATGTAGCCCCAAGTGACCTTGAACTCACAGAGATTCATCTGCCTATGTCTCCTGAGTCCTGGGATTAGAGGTGTGTATCATCACTGCCTGGCTCTATGGCAGTGGCTAGCTTTTCATTTTGATCTCCAGTATGTCACAATATGTCACCACAGTCATATATGCAGTCTGTTGTTGAAAAATGTCAAATGTTATTATGTAGCATGTAACTATATCTAAAACCATGAAGGCACCACCAGAACCAAACACCGGGTGGGATGGGACAGTTTTGACGAACATACCAGGGAAAAGTTGGCAGTGCTGTGGAATGACTTATATCTGGTGAGGATTTAGAAATAAATGCGGAGAGTGGTTGAAAAAAACTTCTATCACCTTTGATTATATGTGATCAATTATGTAGTGTTGTGAGAAATGTGGGCATTAAATTGATAAATACAGATCTATTTGCATACTTCTACATGCAGACATTCACTTTGACTGGCAACATTTGTTGAAGATATCCTTTTTCAGTATGAATTTCTGTCTTCTTTATTTAAAAAGTATCCATAGTTGTGTGGATTAATGTCTGGGTCTTTGATTCCATTGGTCCACCTGTCTGTTTTTATGGAAACACCGTGCAGTTTTTATAACTATAGTTATGTAGTGGAGCTTAAAATCAGGGCTAGTGGTACCTCCTTCTGTTCTTTTATTGTACAGTTTTGTTTTAGCTGTCCTGGGTGTTTTGTTTTTCCATATGAAGTTGAGTATTGTTCTTTAAATGTCTGTAAAGAATTGTGTTGGGATTTTGATGGAGATTGAGCTGAGGAGATTTTTAAGCAGACTATGTAAGAAGTAGCTTCTTTTCTTCTGCCTGATAGTAGTAAATTTCACGAAGAGAAAAATTGAACTTTAAAATAATTGATTTCATGTATTGATATGGCAAAGAAAAAGAAGGCAGGTTCTGAAGAGAAGTTGAGAAGATTAGTATAGTTGGGTTAAGAACTTGGGTATTCCTTTTGTGCAGGAATGGGGTTGGGTTCCCAACACCTACATTGGGCCATTCAAAAAGTGCTCCAAGAAATAGAACACTCTTATCTGGATTCAGTGGACACCTTCACTCCTTTGCATATACCCGTACATAGTCATACACTACACACAGTGTAAATAATTGAAAAATAATGAAAAGGATTCTTTAAAAAAGATTCCCAAGGCAGGAGCTGATGACCTAACAAATCATCTCAATGGAAGACTACAATGATGAGATTAAAGCAACACTACTGCCCAAGTCTAAAGGAAACAGTAATTAGAATGGGTTGAGTTTTGCAAAATGTGCTTTTCTTCAAGAAATGAGAATGTGTCCCAAAGATAATTTGGAAACCAGTGGGATTCCCGTTCCCATTACAGGCCCTGGGGCAGGGATAATTCCTTATCAGTTTTAAGATCTGACCTTGTGGTCGTTCAACACTAGGATGCCCCTACCCCATGCTTCCAGAGATGGGCCCATCAGAAGGCATTATGGGTTGTCCCTCCTTCCTCTCCACAGGAGGTATCACAATGAAGTATTTAGGGTCAACCAGCCAAAAGTTAACAGTGATACAACCTTCTTAGGAGGTAGGAACCATGGCACTGACCAAAGAGGATTATTTGGAACCTCAAGATCTCCTAGAGTTTACTTGTTTGATTTTCAACTTACTTGGGATCCATCAGTCCTCCCTTTTACATTTCTGTCTTCTAGAATTGGAATGCCTGTCTTATGCCCATATCTGCATTTTTTTTTCGAGAAGTGTATTTGTTTTTTTGGTACTAGAAGCCCATGGCTGAAGATAATTGTATCTCAAGTATCAATCATATCTAAGTTATGTCATAAGGAGACTATGTTAAACTTTGAACTTTAGACATTTGAAGTGATGCTGGAATAAGTTACCCTTTGAAGTTATTGAAATGAAGTTACTATATTTTGCCTGTGAGAGAGGAGTGAAGATGGTGAAGACTGGGGTAAACAAAATGTTATCTTTGTGTCTCCTCAATTTCACATATAGAAGTCCTAAACCCAGGAAATATTTCAGTTTCCTTTTAGGGTTTCAGTTGCTTCATTTGGAAAATGAGAGGCAGAGAGGGAGGAGTGATGAGCAAAGGGGTCAAGATTGTGCTGGAGAAATCCACAGAAACAGCTGACCTGAGCAAGTGGGAGCTCATGGACCCCAGCCTGACAGCTGGGGAACCAGCATTAGACCGAACCAGGTCCCCTGAATGTGGGTGACAGTTAGGAGGCCTGGGCATTCTATCGGGCCTCTTGCAGTGGAACCAGTATTTATCCCTAGTATATGAATGGACTTTGGAGCCCATTCTCCATGGAGGGATACTCTCTCAGCCTAGACACATGGGGGAGTGCCTAGGCACTGCACCAAATGATGTGACAGACTTTGATGATCCCCCATGGAAGGCCTTACTCTCCCTGGGTAGTGGATTGAGGGGTGGGACAGGGGTTGATGGGAGGCATGGGATGATGGGAGGGAGAAGGAACTGGGATTTATATATACAATAAGATTGTTTCTAATTTAAATAAAAATATTTTTAAAAAGAAAATAATAGCCATCACTGGGCTAAGTGCTTTGCATTGTTTCTGTATCCACAGAAATCCTGGGGGTCATCTGGCAGTGAGGTAAATGAAACTTATACAAGAAAAATAAAATGATAAAAGTTACACAGTTACTATCAGTTACCTGAATTGGGATACAAGTATCTTTTTAGCTTCATAGTTTAATCCTTTGCAAGATAGTATTTCATTATGAAGACCAGGCTGGCCTGGCATTTCTTTCTGTTCTTCCTTAATGTTGGAATTACAAGTGTATTCTACCATGACCAACTATATCCTTCTATTAAGCTGTGATGTTTAGATCTGTGCTGCCCATCAATTTTAATCTCTCTCTCTCTCTCTCTCTCTCTCTCTCTCTCTCTCTCTCTCTCTCTGTGTGTGTGTGTGTGTGTGTGTGTGTGTGTGTGTTGTTAGAGTCTATGTAGTGTAGACAGGACTCTAGGTTGGTTTCTTACTCTTGATTCTCCTTTCTTAGAGTCTTGAGTGATAGGCTTATAAGTATGCACAACTGTACCCTGTTTGTCTTACTCTTAAGATAGCCACCAGATGTTTTAAGTCTCAAGTCCTCAATGTCCTAATTTTCCACACTTAGTAGTCACAGGAGGCTAGTAGCTATTTTATTGGAAAGCTTATACATAGCCCCTGTTCATCATCATTGAATGGCCTGTTGCACAGCTAATTTCAGCTTCACTGTTCCTGGATCTGTTTCATTACTCAATATGTTAAAAGGGATATGAGTATTTTCAGTTTAATTTTTCAGCCTAGTGTGCAAAACTATTCCCAAGGTGTATCCAGCATGTAATAAAAATATTCTTTCCTTTATAGGTTAAAATGTATCATCTTGACCAAGTATCCAGTTGTAATTTTTGGAATAAGAATACACCTGACAGT